CAACAAGACAACCATCACCGCAACATCTTGTTCTCACACACGTTCATCACTTCAGGTTCCAACGTCAAGCGAGCTCATAGCACGAGGATCACTTCAGCGAGTCACCACCAACACCAGCTCCAACAGCCCACTTCTTCACCCAAGACCTTTCTCAACTTCACCCCCACGTCCCGGAATTGGCCGTCATCAGTTACCGACATCTTCAACACCGAGAAACAACACCAATCAGCCCCATTCATCATCACCTCTTGACAACGCAGCGTCATCATCAATCCCCAAGCTTCTAGTCTCAAAATCCCCACCAAGAGCACCTTCACAACCAACTATGCCGACGAACGTTTCAGCTTCACCGCCACAAGCCATCACTCCTATTCCTCAAGTCAACACCGATAATCAAGAGAGTTCCATGCCGGGAGAAGATCATGCAGCCGTGCCGCTGTCGCAGCCGACGTCGCAGCCGTTGTCTCAGCCGCAAATGACAGTGTCAACGGATCCAAGCACTGTGAGACCGAACCCTACTACTGATGTGTCTCAGTCAAGTGAGGAGTTGGGTAAAGGTTAACGAGTCCGCAAGGTGAAAAAGCCCTTCACGTTCATGGTTGACATGTCATCAAGGTGCACGTATGAGGAGAGTGAGAATTGCATTCACAAGAAGATAGAGGCAATATGCATGGCAGCGTCACACCTTCCACAAGAGCCATTGAGTCGTCGTGAGGCAGTGGCAAGTCCCGAGGGAGAGCATTGGTTGAAGGCCGAGGAAGAAGAGATTGAGAGTCTCATGAAGAGAGGTACATGACGTCTTGTTGAGCCACCTCCAGAGAAGAAGGTAATTGGTGTCAAATGGGTGTACAAGATTAAGGTAAAAGGTGATGGTACACTTGATAGGTACAAGGCAAGGTTAGTGGCAAAAGGTTATTCCCAAATTCCAGGTCTTGACTTCACCGAAACCTTTGCCGCGGTAGCGAAGTACACCACGGTACGAGTCCTCCTCGCCATAGCCGCATATCTTGGTCTCCATATCCATCAAATGGATGTCAAGAACGCATTTCTCTACGGTGTCTTGGACGAAGAGGTATACATGGCACAACCCAAAGGTTATGATGATGGTACGGGTCGAGTTTGTCGCTTGGTAAAGTCACTTTATGGTCTCAAACAGTCCCCACGGGTATGGTATCATGCTCTTGAGACGATACTCTTCAAGCACGGTTTCACAAGGTCCATGAGAGACAACGCGTTGTACTTCATGCACACGAGTAAGGGGGAGTACATTTGGCTGTTGGTATATGTTGATGACCTCCTCCTAGTCTCAGGCTCTCTTGATCTCCTCAACAAGGTGAAAGGTATTCTCATGAGTGCATTCACGATGACCAATCTTGGTGAGCCGAGTCATTATCTTGGTATGAACATTGTGAGAGATCATAAGTCACGGTCCATCTTCCTATCCCAGCAAAGGTACATCCAAAAGGTCCTTGAGAGGTTTGGTCTTGATGATAGCAAGCCATCACCTACCCCGCTTCCTTCCAACTTTGTCCCTCTGTCATCACATCAGCCCTATGAAGAGAGGGAGTCAAGCCTTGACATCACGGGTATTGAGGAGTTGTGTCTTGAGGAGAGTGAGCATCATGGTGAAAATTCACCCAAGGTATCCCCACAAGACCTAGCTCTCTACCAAAGTCAGGTTGGGTGTCTCATGTATGCAGCCCTATGCACAAGGCCCGACCTAGTATTCACGGTATCCAAGCTAGCACAACACATGAGTGCCCCATCACCTACCCATATGCATGCAGCCAAGCGAGCTCTTCGGTATCTCAAAGGTACTTCTAATCTTGGTCTTCTCTTCCAAGCTAGCCCACATGCAAGCTCCCTCCAAGGCTTCACTGATGCAGATTGGGCAGGAGAATTGAGCACACGCAAGTCCACCGGCGGCTACATCTTCCTCATGTGCGGTGCCGCTATTTCTTGGCAATCACGCAAGCAAAGTTGTGTGGCGCTTTCTACAACCGAAGCTGAGTACATGGCAATGACCGAAGGAGCAAGGGAGGCAATCTGGTTACGTGGACTCTTGGAGGACTTGAGGCAGCCGCAAACTCAACCGACTCCACTCTACGTGGACAACACTTCAGCCATCGCTCTTTCCAAGAACATCACAAAAACCCTATGCCAAGTTTGGATGAATTTTGATTTCGATTGTCTTCGCGTAAAAAAATCTGGAGCCAATTCGGACCGACGGTTGGAGTCATTTGATAGGAGCTCCGAGACACATCTTGCGACAAGGTTTGGCTCGGTTCAAGTTCCAATTTGGCACGCGAGCTTTTCCGGATGACATTCGGGCGCAATCCGTTTTGTTGCAAATTCGTGACCAAATTATTCAGAACTATATTCTGTTTTTGTTCATTTTGGATATTGAGGATTTCAAAATTGCATTTATCATTGCGGTTTACAAGAACCATTATTCAGCATTCTAGCAACAAGCAGTCTTAGCACCAGGTCAAATAGCCTACGCACTGGCGGGCCTTGAAAGCGCCCGGTGGGCAAGGACGACATCTCCAAGGTCGCCGTCGTCGATGAGGAACTTGTTCGGAAAGACGAACGCACCCATAGCCGGATCGTGAGGGATCCTCCGCTCCACGACAGCAAAATGGATCATCTGTTTGACCTTTTCGCACCACTCCTAGTTGTTTGGCCTGTTCTGCTCCGGCTGGCTACTGATTCGCTTGCGACGCTTATCCTGCAGAAATGGCCATTCGATCTGCAATGTGGTGTAGGGTTGGGTGGATGGTTTATGAGGAGGGTAGGTTACAGGTAAATGAGGCAACTGAAAGCGGTGATGCATGCGTCACTATCTACGTAACTGCAAAGGCCTAATCGACCAAGGTTTTAGCTGAAGTACAAGCAAGGGGTTAAGGGGATGAGGCATGGGGGTACAAACACATATCTACATCCTTACCGAAAACAAGCCCCGTGCCACCATGCGGCTCTTGAACTTGGTGAACACCGCCCCGCCCCTCTTGAAGGAGAGTTTGAACGCATAAGCGAACAAGGGGTTGCTGAAGGGTGTCTCGGTGGCCTTGTCAAAGTGCCAGTTGAGGGCCCACTGTTCTGCTTTTTGGCAGGGAGGGTATGGGTTGGAAAGGGTTTTGTAGAGAAATCAAATGGGGGGATGAGAGTCAGGGCAAGCCACATCGCACGGTGATATGTAGCTGCCAAGGGGCATATTGTGTTTTTGAGTTGCACTGCACATACCATCTCTGTACTCGGCTAGGAGTTGATCCACATCGAACCAGGTCGTTGGGTGTAGCTTAGTGGGCAGGCTATCCACGAGATGGCTGTAATCGGCAAGGCCCATGCCGGTGTATGCTACTGGCCTGAGGGTGGAGTTGATAGTTGACCTTGTTGAGGACAGCTGGTGGTTGAAGACTCCCATGGTTGACTTGTCATTGTGCAACCACAGCAGCTTCATTGCCTCGAGCCCTTCTGAAGACAAGTGGACAGAGAACGCTTCGAACACTTCCTTCGGTGCAAGGTAGTACTGTATTTTCTCCGGCGGGTTTAGAAACATGAGCTGAGAGCACACTAAGTAGGCTTTGTTCTGCGCAAGTGTGTAAGGTATACAACACGAGATGGAAGAGAGAAACCAGCAGTTATGAGGGTAGCCGCGTGACCATGGGATGGTGACAGCAACACTGTTTGAAATTGCCACGTCACACCCTCCCCCATCAGACACGTCCACCAACAACCCGACCCACTTGCCACGTCACATCCCCCTACCACAAGCCACGTCACCCCCCACCCACCTGACACGCCTCGCTTCGTCATGCGCAGTGGTCACGTGTACCATTTCTAATCGCCACGTCATCCCCAACCCTCACCTTCCGCCACGTCACACCCACCTGCATCCGCCACGTCACCCCCAACCCTCACGTTCCGTCACGTCACACCCTCCTTGTCCGCCACGTCCACCAACCAGCCCCACGTGCCACGTCACACCCTCCTGCATCCGCCACGTCCACCAACAACCAGCCCCACGTGCCACGTCACACCCTCCCACCCCATGCCACGTCACCCCCCACCCACCTGACACGCATCGCCTCGTCACGCGCCGCTCTCGTGTACCATTCCAAACCGCCACGTCAGCCCCAGCCCTCACATTCTGCCACGTCACACCCTTTTGCATCCGCCAACAACCCGCCCTACTTGCCACGTCACACCCCCCACCAAGAGCCACGTCACCCTCCACCCACCTGAGATGCCTCGCTTCGTCATGCGCCGCTCATGTGTACCCTTTTAGAGTGCCACGTCATCCCCAACCCTCACCTTCCGCCACGTCACACCCATCTGCATCTGTCACGTCATCCCCCACCCTCACCTTCCGCCACGTCACACCCTTCTGCATCCGCCACGTCCACCAACCAGCCCCAAGTGCCACGTCACACCCTCCTTGTCCGCCACGTCCACCAACTAGCCCCACGTGCCACGTCACACCCTCCTGCATCCGCCACGTCCACCAACAACCAGCCCCACGTGCCACGTCACGCCCTCCCACCCCATGCCACGTCACCCCCCACACACCTGACGCGCGTCGCCTCGTCACGCGCCGCTCCCGTGTACCATTCCAAACCGCCACGTCAGCCCCAACCCTCACATTCTGCCACGTCACACCCCCCGGCATCCGCCAACAACCCGCCCTACTTGCCACGTCACACCCCCCACCAAGAGCCTCGTCACCCCCCACCAACCTGAAACGCCTCGCGCCGTCATGCGGCACTCCCTTGCACCCTTTCACACCGCCACGTCATGTCCCAACCCTCACCTTTTGCCACGTCACACCCAACCCGTATCCGCCACGTCCACCAACAACCCGCGCCACTTGCCACGTCACACCCACCCACCCCATGTCACGTCACCCCCCACCCACCTGATACGCGTCGCCTCGTCACGCGCCGCTCCCGTGTTCCCTTTGAAACCGCCACGTCAGCCCCAACCCCACCCTTGTTGCCACATCAACCCCAACCCTCCCCATGTGGCCCGCCACATACCGGGAATGGGTTTGTCTCCTGCAACACTAGCACTCGTGCCTTGTCCACGGCGCTCATCAGCGGCGGGGTACCAGCCATAGGCAGGGCTGCCGACCCGCCGGCATAGCTGGCAGGTACTCCACGACGCAGGCCGAGCTGTGCAAACATGGCGTACATCTCAGACCGCAGCGCCTGGAACTCCTCTCGTGTAACAAAATGCTCGTGCTCCGCACTTTCACCTAGGGCACCCATGAGCGGAGGAAAAGGGTGTGAAGAATCCCCCCTCTGGCCAAGGGGATCAACGTCTTCTGCAGCAGTCTCGTGTGCCCTCACACTATCACGCTGACGGGAAAAGGGGAGCTCAGGGAAGGGATTGGCATAACCGCCTACCTGATGCCCGCGCAAAGGATCGGCGAGAGGGGAGACCGCCCTGCCTCGGACAGGAGAAGCGTGGAGTTGCCGAAATTGGTACAAGGGTGAGGCGAGTGGGGACTGCGAGACGGGGGCGGGTGGAGGGGATTCGAATTCCTCTCCTCTTGGCGCGCTTGGTGCCGTCGCAGCGACTATGCTCGGGCCGGCCCATGGCGTGTAGTACCTTGGTGCTCTGGAGGAGAGCGGTGTAACACTCGCTCTTCCGGCAGCCCTCGTTAGATGCATTCGTTGCAAGCTTACGGGCGGCCCAATGCCTGTAACGCGAGGGGCTGAGATGTAGAGGGAGCCGGAAAAAAAAATAATAGAGTCGACCGGTTTCAAGGCGGGGCCAGACATGCATGCATATTCAGAAAGGTTTGAATCTAGATCGGGTTCAGGGTTGTACTGGTTTGAGACAAGAGGGTTTACCTTGCTTGGCAGATTCGTCGACCTTCTCCTTCCCTGCATGGGAGAAACAATGTGAAAAAAGGGTGTTTTTTGGCACGGTTTAGCAGATGGTTCAACACGTCACGCCAGTTTTATTGGACACAATACTCACCTTTCTGATGTCCCTTCGGTTTTGGGGCAGCCTGCGCCTTCTCGTTGCCACCTTTCCGCAGGGTGCTTTAGCGGACGCTGCGACGTTTACCGGCAGGTTCTTTCTTGCTGGTACCCACTTGAACCCCTTTGGCGCGGCCACCCTTTCCTCCTCCATCCCCTTTTGCTCCCTGGATCCCTTGCTTTTTACCAACCCCTTCACTTTCGACCTTCACCTTACGCGCCTTCGGTTTGCCCGATGCTTCGCCGCGCGCATCGTCAACTGCCCCGCGTTTTTGGGAAGGGCGAGTCCGGCCCCCCTCCTTCCCTGTACCAATCACCTGTCTGCCATGCCTGCCCCGTCCCTTCACTGGCGCCACATCCTCCTCCTCCTCCTCCTCCTCCTCCTCCTCCTCCTCCTCCTCCTCCTCCTCCTCCTCCTCCTCCTCCTCCTCCTCCTCCTCCTCCTCCTCCACATCCTCCTCCTCGTCGTCACCCTGCTCCTCCTCCTCCTCCTCCTCCTCCTCCTCCTCCTCCTCCTCCTCCTCCTCCTCCTCCTCGTCCTCCTCCTCCTCCTCATCCTCCTCCTCCTCCTCATCCTCCTCCTCCTCTGCCTCCTCCTCCTCCTCCTCCTCCTCCTCCTCCTCCTCCTCCTCCTCCTCCTCCTCCTCCTCCTCCTCCTCCTCCTCCTCTGCCTCCTCCTCCTTCTCCTCCTCCTCCTTCTCCTCCTCCTCCTCCTCCTCCTCCTCCTCCTCCTCCTCCTCCTCCTCCTCCTCCTCCTCCTCCTCTGCCTCCTCCTCCTCCTCCTCCTCCTCCTCCTCCTCCTCCTCCTCCTCCTCCTCATCCTCCTCCTCCTCCTCCTCCTCCTCCTCCTCCTCCTCCTCCTCCTCCTCCTCCTCCTCCTTCTCCTTTTCGTCCTCCCCGCCATCATTATCATCTTTTTCATCCTCCCCAATATCCGCGTCATCCTCCTCCGCTTCCTCTTCATCCTCCTCTCCCTCCGCATCCTCCTCCTCCTCCTCTGCATCACCGAGGTCTTCATTGCCCTGTTTCGGCTTTGTTACCGTCGCTGCTTTCTTGCCTCTCCTTCCGCTAGATGCTTTTCTTGCTGCGGGTCGGCCCTTCTGGCGCAATGCTTGACCGCCTGCCTTGCCACTAGCTTCCTTGGCGCCTCGCGGTGTCCCAACTGCCGCGCCTCCGGCGTCGTCAGCACTACCTGTCGTCTGCCGCCTCTTCGCCCGCGTAATGAGGTCCCCGGGCACGGCGGTGTCATAATCGTCCTCCCCATCGCTCTTCCTCTGCCTACGCCTCCCCCGTCCACCAGAAGGTGGAGAGCCACCGACCAGCCCCACTGAATCGTGCTCCCCCACCTTGTCTTTATCCAGCACGGCTGCAGAAACTCCGACCACGGTCGGCTGGAGCAGCGTCAGATGGTGTTGCGTTGCCGCCGCATCGGACACCTTGGTTGCGGCATGCTCGGCGCGGGGATCGCCTCCGTGATTTCCCTCCGTCGCCGATCCCTCCATCTCTGCCGACGGGAGTGCAAGACTCGCGCTCCCTCACCCCGGATCTTCGTTGCCGCCAGTGGTGCCGTCTTTACTCGGACCGGGCTCAGTTCCAGCAGAGGCAACATCCGCATTTTTGTTCACTGTAGAAACACGATTGCATAGCATTGGATTAGGGCCCTTGTCTTCCGCTTTCTCGCCAGCCTCCTGTTGACCGCGCGCGACCTTTTTTGCCGCCGCTTTCTTCTTCCCAATGCCACGAGCGACGGACGCATTAGATTTTTTAGCGCCGCCACCACACTCCCTATCGATTTGTTTAAACGTCCTCCTTGTCGCGCGGTGGCCGGCCTGTTCCTCCTCCATTGCTTGGTTGCGTGTTGCACGTGTCATGGTAATTGTAGGAGGAGCAAAGTTGCAAATCGCGCGGAAGGGTTGAGCCGGTTTCGAAAGGGTTCTGCAACTGAATCCCAAGATGGGATTATCCACGGTATATCACTGTAAGGGGTTTCGAAAACCGCCGCTTCAACTAAATCTGTCATAGTAGCCACTATGCTTCGAGCTAAATTGTGTCAAGGCAACGAGCAGCGTCAAAGTGTTGGTCCAGGGAGTGACGAAAGCAGGTGGGTGAGACACGAGGGTGGTTGGGGTGGGTTGCGAGACTAGAGAGAGTAATCTAATCCTACCAGGCTATATTGGACGGTGTGCGTGTAGCCACTCTAGCATAAATCCACCTACCGCTTGATCTCAGCCGCTCAATGGCTAAAGTACCTCTTGGCTGATGACTGAATTGCGGGGGGAATCGTTTGAGATGCGTCAGCCAATCACGGTTGCCAACGCATAAATCACTAAATTTTATTCAAACATACAACAATGCATTTCATCAAACTCTAAGTTGCAAATGGTTTACCACGGGGTTGGGGTAAGTTAATCGGTGATTCTTACGTCACACACACAACGACCGTCCAGAATTATTACTTGTGACAGATGTACTGTGCAGTTTTAGGCTTTAACACAATGATTTAGGGCCAGCGGACGACATTCTAGCACGATTATCAATAGTAACAAACGTGAATCCGCTGTGGTATGGTGTTGGATTGGCATCCATTCTTGCAAAGACATAAAACAAGGTGCTTAGAAGAAGTTGTATGAAGCACAGGCCCAATGCACAAGCGTAGATGCGTTATCGACAGCCATGGTTAGATTGTGCGACGATGCAGCGTTCAGGCCTGCGGGTTGCGCGACATGGTGAATCCGTTGTGGTATGGTGTTGCATTGGCATCCATTCTTGCATAGACATTAAACAAGGTGCTTAAAAGGAGTTGTATGAAGCATAGGCCCAATGCGCAAGCATAGATGCGTTATTGACAGCCATGGTTAGACTGTGCGATGATGCAGCGTTCAGGCCTGCGGGTTGCGCGACATGGTGAATCCGTTGTGGTATGGTGTTGCATTGGCATCCATTCTTGCACAGACATCAAACAAGGTGCTTAGAAGGAGTTGTATGAAGCATAGGCCCAACGCACAAGCATAGATGCGTTATCGACAACCATGGTTAGACTGTGCGACGATGCAGTGTTCAGGCCTGCGGGTTGCTCGACATGGTGAATCCGTTGTGGTATGGTGTTGCATTGGCATCCATTCTTGCACCGACATTAAACAAGGTGCTTAAAAGGAGTTGTATGAAGCATAGGCCCAATGCGCAAGCATAGATGCGTTATCGGCAGCCATGGTTAGACTGTGCGACGATGCAGCGTTCACGCCTGCGGGTTGCGCGATATGGTGAATCCGTTGTGGTATAGTGTTGCATTGGCATCCATTCTTGCACAGACATTAAACAAGGTGCTAAGAAGGAGTTGTATGAAGCATAGGCCCAACGCACAAGCGTAGATGCGTTATCGACAGCCATGGTTAGACTATGCGACGATGCAGCGTTCAGGCCTGCGGGTTGCGCGACATGGTGAATCCGTTGTGGTATGGTGTTGCATTGGCATCCATTCTTGCACAGACATTCAACAAGGTGCTTAGAAGGAGTTGTATGAAGCACAGGCCCAACAACAAGCGTAGATGCGTTATCGACAGCCATGGTTAGACTGTGCGACGATGCAGCGTTCAGGCCTGCGGGTTGCGCGACATGGTGAATTCGTTGTGGTATGGTGTGAGAAGAAGTGAACGAGAATGGAATGACTATGAACGAAGTGAGTACAAATAGGAAACCCTAATTGGGTTGTACCCCGTATGGGATACCCCACTATAGCCTACACAAATATATATGCTATAATGTTCTGACACACCCCCATAGGCAAAGTGGGGGAGAACAAGGGTGTCATAACATAATAGCTTACTTATTTGTGTAGGATATAGTGGGGTATCCCATAGGGGGTACAACCCAGCTAGGGTTTCCTATTTGTACTCACTTCGTTCATAGTTCACACATTCTCTTGTTCACTTCTTCTCATGGAATCAGAGCAGGTTTCCCTGTGGGAATTGTGCTTAGGGCCCACCACCAAATTTTTTTTTCTGCCCTAGCGCCTTAGTGCCCTAGCGCCCGCCCTAGCGCCCGCCCTACTGAGCGCCTTAGCCCCCACCTCGGCGCCCGCCCTTTCAAGCCGCCCGTTAGCGCCGCCCGTGCGGCCGCCCGTTCGCGCCGCCCGTTAGCGCCGCCCGTTAGCGCCGCCCGTGCGGCCGCCCGTTCGCGCCGCCCGTAGCGCTGCCCGTGAGCCGCCCGTAGCGCCGCCCGACGCGCCACCCGTTAACGCCGCCCGTGAGCGCCGCCCTTGCAGCCGCCCGTAGCGCCGCCCACTAGCGCCGCCCGCCGCGCTGCCCGTGCGACCGCCCTAGCGCCGCCCGTCGCGCTTTCAGCTGCCCGCCAGAGCGCCGCCCGTCGCGCTGCCCAACGCGCCGCCCGTCCCGCTGCCCAGACCGCCGCCCATCGCCGCCCTGACGCCGCCCGACGACCAGCCCGTGCAGCCGCGCGTGTAGCCGCCCGTGCTCCCGCCCGTGCACCCGCCCGTGTAGCTGACCGTGCAGCCGCCCGTGAGGCCGCCCGTGCACCCGCCCGTGTTCCCGCCCGTGCACCCGCCCGTCCAGCTACCCGTGCAGCAGCCCGTGAGCCGCCCGCTAGCCGCCCACGAGCCGCACCAGCCGCCCGTGCGGCCGCCCGAGCACCGCCCCAGCCGCCCGTGCCGTAGCCCGAGCCGCCTGAGCCGCCCAAGCCGCCCGCGCCGCCCGAGCCGCCCGAGCCGCCCGAGCCGCCAGAGCTGCCCGAGCTGCCAGAGGAGCCGCACTCCTGCTCCTGTCGGGCCACTGCTGCTCCAGGGCTGTGTTCCTGTGCCGCTGACCTACCCGACTCTTCCTGCCCGGTGAGACTGGCTGCTGCAGTCATGGCCACCCCCAATGTCCTAGCTTTTGACGCTGAGGGTAGAGCCATTGACTTTGCTGTCTGGGTTGAAGACCTGGAGCTGTACTTACTGTGTGATGCAATCGATGAGGTCTCTCTCTTTGACTTTGTCTCTGGCACTGTCCCTGCCCCTCCTGCTGATGCTGATTCCGCCGTTCGCTCCAAGTGGGCGACCCGCGATGCTGCTGCACGTCTTGCTGTGCGTCGCCACCTCCCTTCCTCTGAGCGTGCCCACTTTAGTCAGTGCAAGACCGCCCAGGCCTTGTACGACGCTGTAGTTGCACGCTACTCCTCCCCTTCCTCCGCTACGCTTAGCCGCCTCACGCTACCGTTTCTCTTCCCTGACCTCGCTGCCTTTCCCACTGTCGCTGACCTCATTACCCACCTTCGCGCTAGTGACGCTCGCTACCGCGCTGCCCTTCCTGCTCAGTTCCGCGCCGCAAACCCTCCTCCCATGTACATCACTCTCTACTTTCTTGTCACCCGTCTCCCTGAGTCCCTTCGTGTCGTTAGAGACCAGTTTCTCTCTGTCTATCCCACCACCCTCACTGTCGACCTCCTTGAGGAGTCCCTGCTAGCGGCTGAGAAGAGCATCGTCGCTGTAGGGGCCTCTCGGGGTGACCCTCGCACCCCCATCTTTGAGGGGTGTTCTCCTTCCCCCTTGCTGCCCTCTGTTGCCTCTCCCGCTGCGGCCGACCTCGCTGGTTTTGAGTCGGTCGGTGCGGCGTCTGCCCCCAGCGGTAGACGCCGCTCTGGCAAGGGCAAGGGGGGCAAGGGAGCGGGTGGAGCTAGAGGGGGCAGTGGAGGAGGAGGTGGGGGTGGCGGGGGGAGTGGGGGTGGCGGTGGGGGTGGTGGCGGGAGTGGAGGTACTGGTGGAGGCGGTGGAGGCGGAGGTGGCGGCGGAAGCGGTAGCGGAGGAGGCGGGGGCGAGGGTGCCGGTGGGGGCGGTGGCGGTGGAGACGGGGGTGGCGGTGGAGGCGGGAGTGGCGGTGGCGGCGAGGGTCGGAGTGGCTCGTCCCAGCGGAGCAGCTCTGGGGGTGGTCAGCGCCAGCAGCAGCAGCAGCAGCAGCAGCAGCAACAGCAGCAGCAGCCACAGCAGCAACAGCGCTCTCGCACCGTCCCCGCCCCTCAGCAGCTCCGTGAGTGGTACTTGCAGCATCAGCGTGGTGGTGCGTTTGGTCCCTGCCCATACGTTCTTCGCACCGGCGACCGTGCGGGGGAGAGGTGTGGAGGCACCCACACAGCCCGCCGCTGCTTTGGCCGCCTGACCGACGCCTGGCGTCAGCAGTTTCCGGAGGCCGCTGAGATCCCCCGCTGGGGGGAGCTGTCTAGGGCTGGTGTAGCTATTTATGATCTTGACTTTGATGCTATTCTTTCTGCTATGTATGTTGTGACTGGTAGTGATGAGGATGACTGTTACCGGTGTTACCCGCCCGACCCGGGCATTGGTACTGCTGCGTCAGGTACTCGTGAGGCTGCTGCTCTAGGTGCCAGTGCGTCTGTGCTCTCAGGTACTGGTGAGTCTGCCCTCTCAGGTACTGTGTCGGCTTCGGCCTCTCACACCTTCACCCTTGACTCTGGAGCGTCTCGCTCCTTCTTTCGGGACCGCACCACTCTCACGCCG